GAGTCCCTTTAAACCAGCTCTGCTTCCAGTTCAACTACTCTGAATTCTCCCTTTAGTAACTAACGCTGTGTTTAAGATCACATGATTTGCCGAGAGTGGCAGTCACGTGACGTGCGGTCATGTGACCGGTAAACGGCATTCCATGGTCAGATTGAGCTAGTGCGGCTACAAAGTATCAATTCCCATCAACTCCTCAAATCCAACAATCCCAGCATTGATCTCATTATTAATCCCAGCATTGATCTCATTAATAATCCCAGCATTGATCTCATTAATAATCCCAACAATCCCAGCATTGATCTCATTATTGAACCCAATAATCCAAGCATTGATCTCATTAATAATCCCAGCATTAATCTCATTATTAATCCCAATAATCCCAACATTGATCTCATTAATAATCCCAACAATCCCAGCATTGATCTCATTATTGAACCCAATAATCCCAGCATTGATCTCATTATTGAACCCAATAATCCCAGCATTGATCTCATTAATAATCCCAGCATTGATCTCATTAATAATCCCAATAATCCCAGCATTGATCTCATTAATAATCCCAACAATCCCAGCATTGATCTCATTAATAATCCCAGCATTGATCTCATTAATAATCCCAGCATTGATCTCATTAATAATCCCAACAATCCCAGCATTGATCTCATTAATAATCCCAGCATTGATCTCATTAATAATCCCAATAATCCCAGCATTGATCTCATTATTGAACCCAATAATCCCAGCATTGATCTCATTAATAATCCCAGCATTGATCACACCCATGAAATAATCCGGTAGTATATGTATTATTAGGGTGCTCACCTGGTATCGGCCGCTCAGGAGCTGACTTCGGGATGGGGTGCACAGGGGCTGGGTGTAATAACCCTCCAGCCGCACCCCCTGGGCAGACAGGGAGTCCAGGTTCGGGGTTCGGATCTCGGAGCCATGAAAGCCCACATCATTAAATCCCAGGTCATCGGCCAGGACGAACACCATGTTAGGGGGGCCCGAGCTGGCCCCAGCAGAATGGGGGAGTACCAGGCAGAGCCAGCACAGCACAATGCCCAGGGAAGAGCTCAGTCCTGGCATGCTGGCAGTGAGGGGAAACTGTCTGCAGAGCCCCCTGTAATACCTGTCTGCAGAGCCCCCTGCCCCGATAATAACTTTCTGCAGAGCCACCTGCCCCGGTAATAACTGTCTGCAGAGCCCCCTGCCCCTGTAATAACTTTCTGCAGAGCACTGTTCCCTGTCTGTGTTAGTACATAGATGATCCCTCCCCCTGCCCCTGTAATAACTTTCTGCAGAGCCCCCTGCCCCTGTAATAACTTTCTGGAGAGCCCCCTGCACCTATAATAACTTTCTGCAGAGCCCCCTGCACCTATAACATTCTGCAGAGCCCCCTGCCCCTGTAATACCTGTCTGCAGAGCCCCCTGCCCCTGTAATAACTGTCTGCAGAGCACTGTTCCCTGTCTGTATTAGTACATAGATGATCCCTCCCCCTGCAATAACTTTCTGCAGAGCCCCCTGCCCCTGTAATAACTTTCTGCAGAGCCCCCTGCACCTATAACATTCTGCAGAGCCCCCTGCCCCTGTAATACCTGTCTGCAGAGCCCCCTGCCCCTGTAATAACTGTCTGCAGAGCACTGTTCCCTGTCTGTATTAGTACATAGATGATCCCTCCCCCTGCCTCCTCACTCCATGTACCGTCGGTGTACAGGAAGGGGTGGCAGACTCGCTGTAAATATAATATAGAGCTCGGTTATTAATGAAACTCTATCACTGCCAGGCATAGTAACAAGACTGGCATCCTACTCCAGCCCTGCCTGATGGGAATAGCAGTGCATAGGAACACGTGACCTGGGAGATGCAGCTCATGTCCTGGCTGATGGGAGTAGGAGTACACAGGGAGGGACAGGCCACCTGGCAATGGCATGCATCTCATGTCCTGGCTGATGGGAGTTGCAGTACACAGGAAGGGACAAGTCACCTGGCATGAAGCTCATGTCCTGGCTGATGGGAGTTGCAGTACACAGGTAAGGACAGGTACCCTCTGGCATGCAGCTTATGTCCTGGCTGATTGGAGTAGGAGTACACATAGAGGGACAGGTCACCTGGCATGCACCTCATGTCATGGCTGATGGGAGTAGGAGTACACAGGAAGGGACAAGTCACCTGGCATGAAGCTCATGTCCTGGCTGATGGGAGTTGCAGTACACAGGTAAGGACAGGTACCCTCTGGCATGCAGCTTATGTCCTGGCTGATTGGAGTAGGAGTACACATAGAGGGACAGGTCACCTGGCATGCACCTCATGTCCTGGCTGATGGGAGTAGGAGTACACAGGAAGGGACAAGTCACCTGGCATGAAGCTCATGTCCTGGCTGATGGGAGTTGCAGTACACAGGTAAGGACAGGTACCCTCTGGCATGCAGCTTATGTCCTGGCTGATTGGAGTAGGAGTACACATAGAGGGACAGGTCACCTGGCATGCACCTCATGTCATGGCTGATGGGAGTAGGAGTACACAGGAAGGGACAAGTCACCTGGCATGAAGCTCATGTCCTGGCTGATGGGAGTTGCAGTACACAGGTAAGGACAGGTCCCCTCTGGCATGCAGCTTATGTCCTGGCTGATTGGAGTAGGAGTACACATGGAGGGACAGGTCACCTGGCATGCAGCTCATGTCCTGGCTGATGGGAGTTCCAGTATACAGGGAAGGACAGGTCACCTCTGGCATGTAGTTCATGTCTTGCCTGATGGGAGTAGCAGTACACAAGAATAGACTATTTCTGGCATCCATCCGTTTTAAATCATTACTATTCATGGGAGTTGCAGTGCACAGAATAGGTGCTCTCTAACATGCACTCCTTCCAGGCGAGTGCACAGATAATGGATTACATGCCAGTAATATAAGGTTAAAAGTTTGAGAGAGTACAACAGGATTACCAAGACCATAGAGTCTACTCGTGGTTAACGCGGGACAATATGAGAAAACCAAGACGACAACCCAGAATAATAATAAAGCCTAAAATAACAACTACTGACATCACGTCAGGCAAGTCTGCCTCTGACAATGATATAAACAATGAACCTACTCCTTCATCCTCCTTTAAGGGCTCCAGAAATGGGTACCACTACCAGGAGCCGAGGAAGAGAAAACGCAGAACACAAAGAGGTAACAAGGGCAAAAAGCGTGCCGAGGAGCAGACCACCTCACAAGAAGTAATACCTATTTTCAATTTGTCCCATAGGCCATTAAGTGCAGAAGAATCTGACTTATCGAGCCTGGGATTATCGTTTGTTCCTACGGCTTAAATCCGCGTTTGATCCACTTACAAATAAGGCTTTAAAGGGACACTCCAGGCACCCAGACCACTTCTGCCCATTGGAGTGTTCTGGGTTCCAACTCCCACTACCCTTAACCCTTTTCATAAACTGCAATATTTACATTGCAGGGTTAACTCCTCCTCTAGTGGCTGTCTAAAGGGCACTTCCGTGTTGATGGCACACATTCTGTGTGCTATAGCGTCGCTGGACGTCCTCAGCATTTTTCAATGCTTTCCTATGGGGTGGTCTAATGCACTTGCACGGCATTGCCTCGCATGCGCATTAAGTCTCCCCTGCCGGCAGCCGCTCATGCTCCAAAGGTCTCCCTTGCCGGATGACGTCGGCGGGGGAGGAGCGTGGGCAGACTCTGACCCAGCTCAGAGGGACATCGGCGCTGGACACAGGTAAGTCACTGAAGGGGTTTTAACCCCTTTAGCAACTTGGGATGGGGGGTGGGAGGAAGAGGGGACCTGCAGTGCCAGGATAATGGTTTGGGCCCCGACGCATGTTTCGCCGGTAAGCGGCTCTTCAAGGGGAAACCCATGTCCGGGTTTTTTAGTTTAAATATCGCGCCCATTAATGCGATAGGCCCATTGTAGTACCAATGATGATGTCATGATTAACAGTGTACTGGCTGATATTGACGTAATTGAGTGAACGGATAACCATTATAAAGACCTCATTTGGTCCCAAATTATAATAATATGTCTTCAAATCTGGTTATTTCCTATGTTATAGTAGCCCACATATGAGTTATGTTGGACAAGTTTATTAAAGATATACTTAAAAAAAAAAAGCAGTCCGACCGATGTAGTAATAATAGAATGTCCCCATTAATTTTGAAAATCGTTGATTTCGATCATTAAAGGGACAGTGAGATGTCCCTAATTTGTTTATCAGCATATATCCAATAGGAGAAATTACATGAATGATTCCTATTGGATGAACTGGTAAATAGTTTCTGATGAACGTAATATACATTGTATCAATTATATAAAAAAAAGTCATGGTTATGGTGGAAAGTGTAGGTTAATTAAGAATATTTAAGGGACAGAAAAAGTCCATATTAGTTTGGGTAATTATCAGTGTATATCAATTCGAGAAAAGTACATATAGTTCTTAGTAGGTGGACTAGTATATAATCATTGTATACTAAATATACTTTAAGGGTAAAAAATATTCATAAGCTAATTCATAAGTGGTAAGAAGTATTGAATATACATAGGCTATATTAATAGTATACGGCTATAAAGATAAATGTACCTTGGGCGCTAAATTCAAAAGTTAATAAAGTAATAGGAGAAGGTGAAGAAAATTAAAAAAAATAAAGTGATGCTATAAACTGAAATAAAGATTGAAGATTAAAAGATGTATTGAAATAAGATAATTTGCCATTACTATGCTCAATTGTGGATAAATGGTGTGTAATTCAATTCTTTGTTTAATCCACAGGGAGATAATGTCTGGAATGCATAAATCCATTTTGATTCTTTTTGTAGTAAATATCTATTGAAATTTCCTTTTCTCGGATTTTGGATCAGTCTTTCAATAGCTTGAAAGTGAAGGTTGTCAACTTGTCCTTGCTGAAATTTCTGAATATGTCTGGCTACTCGAGTCAGGGTGATGACATTTGTGATAGAGGCAACATGTTGGAGTATCTGACATTGAAACTGCTGAATGGTTTTACCTATATATTGAGCACCACAGCTGCATGTTATGAGATATATAACCCGGGTGGTGCTGCAATTAATAAATGCATTAATGTGTACCTTGATGTTGGATTGTGTAGACTTGACTGTGGTTGAGAGAGTGATGAACTTACATGCCTTACAATGCCTGTATCTAAAAGTTCCTTTTAGTATTGGTGAGCCAGTTAAATATTGGGGCAATACTTGCCATGTGGCTATGTACCTGTAAGATTTTCAGCTTTGGGGATCTCCTGGCAGTGATTGTCGGGCCGTCCGTTAACTTAGGTTTGAGTATGGGGTTATGCTGCAGTATAGGCCAATTTTTTTTGTGATGATATTAGACATGCATTTCAGTGTGGGTGAATTGTCTTTTCATTTGGTAGACCTTAAACTGGATGGTCTATGATGGTCTATCTGTATGGCTCATTGGTATGCTCTTTTTTAGTACTCTGTTCGGGTAGCCTAGTGTTCAGAATCGCTGTTTCAGAAGTTGACATTCCTGGTAGGCCAGATCTCCCGAACAGTTTCTCCTGGCTCGGAGATATTGACAATAACGGATAGAGGCTTTCAATTTGAAAGGGTGATGACTGTCCCAGTAGAGGAGGCTATTTGTTGATGTTGATTTTCTGTACAGTTGTGTTTCAATTGTACCATCTTCCATCAGAAGAATCTTAAGGTCCAAGAAGATTAGTTCCTTTTCCTCAATGACATGTGTTGAGTTCTCTAACAAAACTCTCAAAGCATGGAACTGAGCCAGTCCACAGGAGCAGCATGTCATCAATATATCTATACCATTTTCAGAATGTAGCTTTGGTAAGGGCTATATTCAGTAGACTTAGAAAGAGGCTAAGCAAGTTATAAGAGCTTCCAAAAAATCACACACAGAAGAGAAAATAGCACAGTCAGTAAAAAAGGGGGACAAAACATTTTTTAGATAAATAAATGAGAAAAGAAAAGTAAAACAAGGATTAGTTAGATTAAAAACAAAAGAAGGAAGATATGTAGAAGAGGATAAAGGTCTAGCTGACTGCCTCAATTAATATTTATGTTCTGTATTTACAGATGAAAATGAAGGAAAAGGACCTCAGTTGAGAAAAAGGATAAATGAGTCATTTAATACACGTGAGTTTACAGAGGAAGAGGTTCTATTTCAACTGTCAAAAGTAAAGACAAATAAGTCAATGGGACCTGATGGAATACACCCAAAGCTATTAAAAGAGCTTAGTGGTGTACTAGCAAAACCATTAACAGATTTATTTAACCAATCATTGTTAACAGGAGTAGTCCCAGAAGATTGGAAGTTAGCGAATGTTGTGCCCATTTACAAGAAAGGTAATAGGGAGGAGTCGGGCAACTATAGGCCAGTAAGCCTTACTTCAGTAGTGGGGAAAGTGATGGAAACCATGTTAAAGGATAGGATTGTTGAACATCTAAAAACACATGGATTTCAAGATCAGAGACAACATGGGTTTACTTCAGGGAGATCATGCCAAACTAATCTTATTGATTTTTTTGATTGGGTAACTAAAATTATAGATCAGGGTGGTGCAGTAGACATTGCTTACCTAGATTTCAGTAAGGCTTTTGACACTGTTGCACATAGAAGGCTTATCAATAAACTGCAATCTTTAAGTTTGGATTCCAATATTGTTGAATGGGTAAGGCAGTGGCTGAGTGACAGGCAACAGAGGGTTGTAGTTAATGGAATATATTCGAAGCTTGGACTTGTCACCAGTGGGGTACCTCAGGGATCTGTACTTGGACCCATTCTCTTTAATATTTTTATTAGTGATATTGCAGAAGGTCTTGATGGTAAGGTATGTCTTTTTGCTGATGATACTAAGATATGTAACAGGGTTGATGTTCCAGGAGGGATAAGCCAAATGGCAAATGATTTAGGTAAACTAGAAAAATGGTCAGAATTGTGGCAACTGACATTTAATGTGGATAAGTGCAAGATAATGCATCTTGGACGTAAAAACCCAAGGGCAGAGTACAGAATATTTGATAGAGTCCTAACCTCAACAATTGAGGAAAGGGATTTAGGGGTGATTATTTCTGATGACTTAAAGGTAGGCAGACAATGTAATAGAGCAGCAGGAAATGCTAGCAGAATGCTTGGTTGTATAGGGAGAGATATTAGCAGTAGAAAGAGGGAAGTGCTCATGCCATTGTACAGAACACTGGTGAGACCTCACTTGGAGTATTGTACACAGTACTGGAGACCGTATCTTCAGAAGGATATTGATACCTTAGAGAGGGTTCAGAGAAGGGCTACTAAACTGGTTCATGGATTGCGGGATAAAACTTACCAGGAAAGGTTAAAGGATCTTAACATGTATAGCTTGGAGGAAAGACGAGACAGGGGGGATATGATAGAAACATTTAAATATATAAAGGGAATCAACACAGTAAAAGAGGAGACTATATTTAAATGAAAAACTACCACAACAAGAGGACATAGTCTTTAATTAGAGGGACAAACTTTTAAAAATAATATCAGGAAGTATTACTTTACTGAGAGGGTAGTGGATGCATGGAATAGCCTTCCAGCTGAAGTGGTAGAGGTTAACACAGTAAAGGAGTTTAAGCATGCGTGGGATAGGCATAAGGCTATCCTAACTATAAGATAAGGCCAGGGACTAATGAAAGTATTTAGAAAGTTGGGCAGACTTGATGGGCCGAATGGTTCTCATCTGCCGTCACATTCTATGTTTCTATCTATGTTTCTATGACTTGATGACATGCTGCCAAGCCGGTGGCCAAACATTCCCTTGAACATCTACATCTATTGGCATCACTGAAATGTCTAGGTATAGACAATATCCCCCAACCAAGAAGAGGGGGAGATTGTAGAAAAATGCTACTCAACAAAGAAGCCTTCTGGATCCACAAACTTGATACAGTGTTCCCTAAAGGCCTCAATGAAACAAATTAATTTCATTCCTTTTTCTAATTATGCCTCCAGCTTGAATTTATAGCTATATACATGTCTATAGTTTTATCTTATGTGTATGTATTTTCTCTATATTTGGCAGGTAATGGCACGTATTCACTTTATTATTGGAACGATGTTCCATCTGAGTTTTATTTATATATAGAGAGAGAGAGAGAGAGAGAGAGAGAGTAAGCACAACCACTGCACTTTACTTATGACTGGGCATGATCTTTAAGGTATTGTGTAGGGCAGGGGTAGGCAACCTTCGGCACTCCAGATGTTGAGGACTACATCCCTCATAATGCTCTTACAGCCATAATGCTGGCAAAGCATCATGGAAGGTGTAGTCCAAAATATCTGGAGTGCCGAAGCTTGTCTATGCCTGGTGTAGGGTATATCTTGCAACAACTTCGGTCACTTTATAAGGTTTGAGCACTTTGAATACTTGACAGCACTTTATTCTATTACAGTACTTTGCATTTTTACAAGCACCTCATACCTGTTTTCAATAAGTATTAAGCACTTTATAAAAATATTCAGTATTGAAATGAATTGTAGCACTTTTCAAGAAGTACACACAGGTGCATGCAGTGTACACAATTTAACTAGTATCTGCATAGTAACTTGACTCATGTATATTGCTTAGCTTCACTTTCTCTATATCTAACCAATGCATCCACTCTTTATATAGTCTCACGTTAGCCCTATACCGCCACTTAATTGCTTATTGTGATTCATTTCCATAGCAACTGTGGCGAATATAACTTCGCCACGGGCTCCTGGAGGAGCCGGCTTGCCAGCCTCTTGCCTCAGGTCTATGGGACCTGCAAAATACATTTTAAAAGACTCTGTTCGTTTGGGTTCCATGTGCTGTTTGGAACCAAGCAGATCCACAAACTGAAGATCACCCATGAGCTCGTTAAACATTATTGACACCTTGTAACAATTCTGGGTCGTTCGTCTGAATGAGGTAAACAAGCTCCGCGTTATACTTATGGATTAGGTTCGGTATTATGGTCGCATGGTACTCCCGAACAGGATCGGCCCCAACCACTGAATTCATGAAACTGTTTTGGGCATAATACCATGTGTGTGACCGGTCAGAACTTTACCCCGGTGGCGATTTGGCTGTGTTCGTGGGATCTGAGCACTTTTAGAATACGTTGGGCGCTCAGATCCAGGCTATCCGTGGATGTATAGACTGTGGGGGTTCCTATGTGGGAAATATGTGTTTTTATGTGTTTTTCATATTTTGTATTTTATGCTGAGTCACAGTGAAGCGTGATAGGTGCAGGTATCCAATCGGAGTGCCAGGCGGTCCACCACAGCGACGACAAGGTAGCCCGCGTCAGTATGATAACACGCATGATGTCATTACGTTAGGACAGCACATTTGCACAGGCGCACTGGTCATGGTAAGACGCCGGTTTGGGATCCATTTCACCTGGGGGTAATTCACTTTAGTAATCATATCTGCCTATAAATATGTTTGTTTTTAAGATGCATGGATTTTTTTGATCCTGATGAAAGTCCCAAAACGGTGGACTGAAACGTTGATCTCAACTCAATAAAGATTGGACTTTTAAAGATCTCTATGGATACAGTAATATAAGGTAGGTCAGCACAGCACTATTGGCTAAAAAAACGCAACCTGCGCCATTCACAGGAATATTAAACCTGTCACGTTACAGCGTCACGCAACCTGCTCCATTCACAGGAATATAACATTTAGAGTGGCTGGAAAAACTCATTTGAATCGGTCAAAAGAATGGCACATATTAAAAAATGACTGTGAGGGTGCAAAAAAAAAAATCTGAAAAAAATCTGACAAATCGCGATAAATTGCGCCACAAATTCCCAGAAAATTAAGCGAATAAAGTTTTGGTGACACTGTAATAAATATCCCCTTTTGGTTTTTTGTGAATCAACTGCCCTGTTACCTTTTTAAATAGCACCTACTGAATTTCTGACCCCTGCACAATTTCAGGACATGGAACGGTGTTTCGGTGCATTACATAGAGGTTATATGAAATAAAAATTGTCTGAAAATAATATTGTATTCTGCTGAAATTCATCTTCGCATTTGGGACAGCAGTTTAAATAGAATCTGCTAGATTGGACAAACATTGGATACAAAGATTTAATGTCTGACACAGCATTTTGCAAGTTGAAATACAATTTTGTCCTGTAGGTTAAAACTGTACGTAGAAAATGACAATGTGTTTATGACTACTTGACCTGTAAATACAGAATTAGCTGCACATTATTCTGCGCATGTCTCAGAACAGAGCCCGCAAATAACAATTCCATGTTGA